CAAGAAACAAGTCTCCATGACAAAGTTCAAAAAGTAATAGACTAGTACAAACCAAAGAAAAGTATTTCTTACCTTGCATGTGTCGTCACTGATACAGCCTTCCTTCACATTTTTAGCATTAGTTGATAAATAGACTTTTTTGTTTGAGTTACTCCAGCCATCCAGATCCAAATGCACCGAGTCCAAACGAAGATCCTGGAGGCAGCCTTTGAAGTGTCCCCCCCACTTTTCTGAGTCCCAGTTTCTTGGAAGTCCTCCCACATGGGCCTGATCACCACTGTTGACAGTCACTTCAGGGATTTCTCCTATGCCATAGTTGAGGCCTGCGTGATCAACGATCACATGTCCATGTCTGACTTCGACATAAAGAAATTGCTTCTCGCCAGTGGTCACAAAAACTGGAGCTATCAGTGGAGTGCTGTTGGGCAGAGAGCTGACAAACACTCTACCCATTTTTAGGTAGATTGAAAAGTAGACTTCCCCCTCATCTCTTATGGTGGGTCTCCTCAACTGGAACAGCAGTCCATCAGGCTTTAATGATCTCAGGAAAAAAGAGACATTGAAGTTGCTTCCATGGCTCTTGCCTACATTGTAGACACTAAAACTAATTGTGTCCTCGTGGCTGTAAGTCCATGATAGAAATTCTGTCAAAAGATACACACACAATGTTAAAACAAGATTATTCAAAGTAAAATATGGCCATTCAGCTCAATAAAGTCAATCCAGTTTATATGTATAGTCTAACTAACAAAAACTTAGTTCCACGACACACACAAAAACGAAAATGGGTTAGTTTAATCTCATTTACATACAATTCAACATTCATATTCAAACCCATAGATATTGATGGAATCCAATTATACATAGGCGTCGCAACCATTATATGTGAAGGGGACATGTACCCCCCACATTAAAAAAAACGTTCATTTGGACCCCCCCCCCCCCTCCCACCACCACCACACACACACACACACACACACACTTTTTCTATAAAACATTAGTTCAGGCGGTGCAGTTTCTCTTTCTTCGTGAACAAATCCATTCCACTTGATTAATAGGAGAATACTCAAACCACTAAAACTCCACTCCAGGTTTTCCTGGTTACCTCAAACGCTACACACAGAGCAGAAACTGTGCAGGCTGCAGGCTGATGAGTCTCCTCCTGCCTCGGCAGAAAACGTGCACAGGTGGAGTAGATGGAGACACCTCTGTGTTGCTCACTGGCCAGTTTAGCGAACTTGGTGCGTGCAGTTGTTGACCAGGGGGTTGATCTTAAACATATATTCATGTTAGGAGGATGCTTGAGTGCAGCGCTACGTCTGTAGCATGTTCTCTTAGCAGTAACTGTGACGCTGTAAGATGCTGCAGGTGTAAGAGACGCTGTGTGTTCAGCTGCATTAAAGTTGAAATGTCTTTAAAACCCCACACCTTCTTGTCCTCAAGCTTCATGAGAAACATCCTTTAGTTGAGTAGTGTTGAACACAAGTAAAAAAGTCCAGTGGTGATGTTTTTTATTTCTCTATAAACACAAATAGTGCCGACCTGACGCTCTGTATTAAAGTTAAAATTACTTTAAACCCACAGCTGAATTTACACAAACTTGTTGAGAAACATGCTTTAAATGTGTGGAATTAAAGGAAATCTAGGTGAAATGCTGCTTTTAGTGTACACTTTTTTTACGTGTGCGCGCGCACACAAACACCTACACACATCATTGTGTCCCCCCCACATTACGGATGCTTCTGACGCCCTTGCAATTATAACACTATGAAGGTTGTTTTTCTTCTTTTTCTTTCAGCTGTTCTCTTCTTCAGGGGTCGCCACAGCAAAGTAACTCACACAAAAACATGGCAATTGTTTTTACATCGGATGTCCTTCCTGACGCAGCCACAGACCACCGAGCTACCACATCCCTCTGTGTGGAGCGGAGAGCTGCATCTAGGGCACCCGAGGGAGCAGATGATGGGGTTAAGGGCCTTGATCAAAGGTCCAGTGTGGGTCAAATGCTTCACTTTTCCAACCTACAGTTTATTATATTTTTTTAATGTCAGTCAGGGGGGTCGAACCAGAAGCCTATTGATCACGGGCTCGCCTTCTCTAACCTCTGTGCCACCACTCCCCCCCCCCCCCCCATAATACTATAATGGTTCTGTAAATGAAATGCAAATTCACTGCCAGAACATATGCCACAATAAAGAAAATGTACAGGTTTGTTCAGAGAAGAGGAAGACAGGATGAGAGTATAACTTTTGTCAGGAGTCTCAAGTTTAATGACTTGGAAAAAGGAGACTCATAGAGGGAGTAGTCTGTGGACAAATAACTTGTCCAAACTTAAGAATCCTACATATACCGTACAGTATATAAAATGAATAAAGGATGATGGAGATGGAGTGCTGAAATGGATGAATCTGACTCAAAACGTTGCTCTGGGTCATTGAACAGTGCCGTTGAATGGGAACGTTGTTGAGATCATACGTTTAAAGTTTAATTTTTGGTCATCCAAGACAACATTGCATCTATCACAGCACCCCTCACCACACACACACATACTCAAACTGAACGATGGCGGTGACAGCATCATGCTGTGGGGATGACTCAGATCAACAGATAATACACAAAAGGGAGTATATATGCATTTATATTTAGAAATCATACAGTAAGTATTCACATAGCCATGTATATAACTAAAGAACCAATCAGAATAAAACTAACCACTGCCATTGGTTAATAATGTAAAGGAGAGTGACAGTTACCAAGTTAAATATCACCAATACTGAAGTTAGGCTCATTTATCAAAGTCTTACTGGCAGCCTTTTTACATATGTAAGCACAATAGAAAAATATGGATATAAATAAAGATAGCATTTAGTATTTTGAACTACATAAAAATCTTGACCAGTCAGGCTATGTTAAGTTTTACTTGTTGTAATGACACTTACCATCAGAACAGCTTTCCCCATAGAAGGGACGGTAGCAGTCACATTGGTAGCTGGTCCAGAGGTCTACACAGTGTCCATGTCCACTGCAGGGGTCAGGCTTACACCACTCGGTCTTACTACACCCTAACTCATAACTTTGATCCCCTGGAAGAGTTTGGGGTAGGATGTATTTTGAGTCAATTATTAGGTCTTCAATACATCCGATGAATCCTGCTCCACTTCTTGAAAGCTGCAAAAGCTCATTTGGCGCTCCACCTATATAAACATTAGTAAAGGCTTCAGAGGGTTGGAATGGAGGCTCTTCTGCACTCCCATCTGTAACTGTGCACCCATGTCCTTCACAGTCCAGACCTTTCAGAATCAAGACTAGACTGTTGCTATCTAAAAGCACATGGACATCTCTCCAGTCTCCATCACTAACTGGCTTGGAAAATGTTACATCCATTTCAGACTCTTCAGAAAAAGCTTTTGCATGAAGACCACCATTAAAAATCTCCAGAAGGAGGTAGTTATCCACATCACCTCTGTAGAAGAGCAACATTTCGGGCATTGTTGTCCGGAAGCGAAGCTGTACCCCGAAACCTTGGTGATCGTGGTGTTCGACCTCTCTGCGGGATCGTTCTTTTAGAGCAACTTGAATGTGAATAAATCCAGGAGTTGGCAAGGAAAATGTTGTTCTTGTGGAGCACTGAGCATCATAGAAGCCAGGAGGACACAAGCATTCGTGCTTATGCTTTCCATCTTCTAGTATTGGAAGGCAGGCGGCTCCATTTTGGCACCTATGGCCAACACATCCATACAGTTTGACGTCACAGTGATCACCTCCCCATGGAAGTGCTCCTGGCTGAGGTCCAGGACAGCGACAATAGTAGGATGCTTTACCATCTTCACACCAGCCACCATTTTGACAGGGCTCACTCTCACATTCATTAATGTCCACTTCACACAGTTTACCTAAAGAGAGATTAGTCTAATTATTATGTATGATATGATAAGAAAGAAATTACATTTTTGTATTTTATTGTTTGTTCAAACTTATTACACAATATTATTGATCATTTTTTAATTTATTTGCAAACACAAAATTATATTCCATGAAGTATTTAAATTCAGCACCCATGCAGTGATTCAGTCTGTACATTGAAAGTTGTAAAACTTACCTAAGAAGCCAACGGGGCATGTACAGATGTAACCATTGATCTTGTCCTTACAAGTGCCTTCATTATGACAGGGTTCAGATTCACACTCATCAATGTTTACAGAGCAATTCTCTCCTGTGGGGCAGAACGAATCAGAGGTAATACTGCATTGGAAATGATGACGATTATATGCTGGTCAATTATATTTATTTTACAAACCTGCAAAACCTGGTTGACACTGGCAGATATATCCAGCTGCATCTGCAAAGCTAAGTTCCCAGTCCAACTCCCAGGGAGACAGATCTGAGCGCTCAAAACATTCCCCATCGTTCTCACAAGGCTTTTCAGCACACTCATTTATATCGCTTTCACAGTTGGGTCCTTCATAACCTGGAGAACAAAGACACAAATATAACTACCTGCTATTAAAAACACTTTAAACTGCACATTAAATATGAGGCATTGTAATAACAACAAATCTGTATTTGTTCTATCTTTACTAATTCTTAATTCTATTTACTGTGCCTTTAAAATCAGAACTCAACTCAACTCGGGGGACACCCTGGACAGGTCTCCAGTCCATCACAGGGGCACATAGAGACAAATGAGACAACCGCTCACTCTCGCACTCTCGCACTCTCACTTAGGGACAATTTAGAGTTACCAATCAGCCTAACATGCATGTTTTTGGTCTGTGGGAGGAAACCGGAGCACCCGGAGAAAACCCACACATGCACGGAGAGAACATGCAAACTCCACCCAGAAAGGCTCCTGGCATGGATTTGATAGGGCAACCTTCTCGTGGAAGGTTGCCTCTCCACCAACTCTGCCACTGTGCCACCAAACTGACAAAAGTAAAATAAAGTTAATTACTGCAACTATCACCATTTTTTGTGCTTGAGGCAGCCCTGTTGGATTTTGACGTTGGAAATTGTCAGAAAAATCCTAATTTCTGAGTCAGAAATTCTGAAGTTGGGTGGAATTCTGGTTGATTTTTTGACATGGAGCTTGACAGTGGAACAATATGGACAAGGGAACACAGTGCAAATATTCAGATTAATACGTGTTCATGTTTAATGAGCTAAAGTACATTGTGTTTTGTGGTCCTCTGTTAAAAAATATAGACTGCCTTCTCCAGATTGGGAGTGAGTTTGATGGGATTGCTGGGTTCTGTTCATGAGTGAGGGAAGAATGGAGCATGAGATAAACAGATAATTACAGCTTCCGCAGTATTGCATACTCTGTGCCACTCTGTTGTAGTGAAGTGGAAGCTGAGGTGAAAGGCAAAGCTCAATGTTTATCGGTCAGTCTATGCAGCTACCATCATCTACGGTCACAAACTTTAGGTAGTGACCAAAAGAACAAGACTGCAGATACAGTCAAAATGAATTTTCTCTGTAGGGTAACCTCTTCCTTTCAGATAGGGTGAGAAATTCAGCTATGAGGAGAGACCTGAAGTAGAGTTGCTGCTCCTCCACATCGAGAGGAACCATTTGAAGTGGATTGGGTATCTGGTAAAGACAACCCCGGGATGCCTACTTAAGGAGGATTCTCAGATACTGTATTGTTATTTAAGAGGAGGCACCAGTGAAGACCCAGGACACACCAGAGAATCTGTCTTACAGCTAGCCTGGGAAAGCCATGGAATCCTCTCAAAAGAGCTGGAAGACGTGGCTGTGGAAAGAAGGACTGAAGGACTTTTTCAGTCTGAGGAGCCCACCAAACCAAACTGGGCTCTTCAGACTGAAGAAGTCCTTTGGCTGAAGGACGAAACATCTCAGCAACAAAAGAAGCCTTCCAGATGACTTGGTATGGTTCCTATATACAGGTTTTCATTAGCTTACTTTCTCCAGCATTGGGCTTGTGTTTGGACAGAAAGTACAACAGTGCTGCTCATTACCTGGCCAACACAAACATGCATATCCTTTGACTCCTTCTAAACATGTGGCACCATGCTGGCATGGATCAGAGTCACACTCAGAAATATCCACCTCACAGTTGTCCCCTTCAAATCCCGTGTTACTGCAGTCACATTCATAGCTGTAAGACAAAACAGGTGTGGACAGAGCATATTATCAACTTTTAGAACTTTTACTAGACATCCACAAGTGTTACAAATTGCTTTTAGAAGTAGACGCCGTTGCCAAAAAGGCTTGGGTTGGTTATGCTAAAGCTCTGCTACACTCACCAGGTTTAAGTAATGCCTGGAATGTTCAAGTTGTTGGTGATTATAATGCTTTATTAGGTATTTTAAAGCAGCATTTGTGCAGCAATGCACACACACCATTTACTGTATAAAAGTCTTCTTGAAACATAATTGCTGAGCATTCAATATAAAATATAGCAGGTCCTTATTACCATTAAGATGTTCAGCACATAGTCTAGCCATTGAAAGTGGCAGGTGGTCTTCTATACCTACAGATGAGCGGCGGTGTCATTCTGTACACATGCTCTTGGAATTGAAGCTGTTGAAGATGACAACCACTTCCTTTTTGTCTACAATCTGTATGATACTATACATAAATTTTTGTGCATGAAATCCTAATTCTTTTGTCAGCCGAATGTCTGTTTGTGACTGAAAAGTCTTGGTTACTTGGAGCATGCAGCTAAGTGCTTCCAAATCTAGAAATGCATATATTTCAGCTGTGCAAATATAAACTGTATGCACAACAACATTTTTGTGTAAAGCTGTGATAGGATCATGCTGTGACAAATACTTCGATGTGTATGTATTTTGTGGGACTGTGGTCCGAAAATCCCTATATTCCTAAATAACTACTCTTGACTTGACTTGAATGTGCAAACATTTTCAGTTGATAGGTGTAGATAAGGTGAGCAACATGAGTGTTAATTGACCTCTCGGTTAGATTTAATCAGTTATGGGGCTTCTAGTGGTAATGGCTGGTGCTTCAAATCAGTGTACACAGTGTTTGTCAGTACAGTATTACATATTTTTAGAATGATTTAAAACAAAATTTCTCTCAAGTCAGATGTATTATTCTTAAATGATTTTGGAGAATTATCTATAATCAAATTTAAAAGTCCATTTTATTTGAGTTTTAAGGTACCAAAGTCAAAAAAGGGCAGTAGATAATTTTGTTATACAGTTTAGCCTACAATAGAAATATTTGTTACATTATGTCATTTTTATTCTAATAAACGGCAACAAAACAAACAGTAGAAGTACAAACTGTAACCATTTAAAGTAACCAATTATTGCCTGAAATATGTGCAGCACAAGCTAAAAAGAAATCTCCTGAATTATTTTACAGCCACTTGTCCAAACGTACTTGCGTACCTGTTTACCATGTCTCGACAGAATGCTTCATTCTGACAGGGCTCACTGGCACACTCATCGACATCCACCTCACAGTCGGTGCCATTGAATCCAGGTGGACACTCACAAAAGTACATGCCAATCAAATCATGGCACGTCGCTCCGTTCTGGCAGGGATTGGACCCACACTCATCTAAATCAGTTTGACAGTTGACTCCTAAAAATAATGAGGAATATCTGCCATTTAGTTAGAAATCGTTGAGAGTAAAAAAATAAAATAAAGCAATCAACTGAGATTTTCAAATCACAATCAGAGGATTGATCATGTTTTTGTAAGTAAACGCTAAAACTACAGGTTGAATGTGGCCGAAGATGGTTTGGATGGTTGAATGATGAGTCAGAGAGTCGGTGATTCAATCCCAGCTTCCTCCTCCACATGTCAACGTGTCCTTGGGAAAGACACTGGAGGACGCCCAGGATGAATGGGATTTATAGTAAAAGGACTTTGAGGGGTCAGAAAATCTAGAAAACACTACAAATGCATGGCAGTAATTTACAACAGACTTCCAATTTTTTTCAGCTGGTCAACTGGAGACACTCGGCAGTACAGTTCAGTGACTGGAAGTCTACCAGAAACCAGTGACTAAAGGTTGTTGGACCTCATACATAATCCTGAAAGTAGATGTCATAATGGTTCCCAGTGTACATGTTTTAAGCCCCTCTGTGTAAACAAAGAGAGCATTTTCTTTATTAAAAATATCAAACATACTTTAAATATTTTTTCAGGTGTTTACAATTGTTCAAATGTATATTTGTTAGAATATGTTTAGCTATAAGATTTTTCAAGCCTAAAAAAAAGGGCATGTACGTATATTTGTATGCAGGGAAGTTGGCAGTACTTATGTGCCGCAACTAGATTCTGGTTCCAAAAAATAATGATTATAGCTCCTGTAAACTGCATCCTACTGGTTTCAGTTTCCTACAACAAGAGAAGGAAGATACACATAGTGTAGTATTGAAATGTATGATCAATGGTCTCAAATGGGATTCTTGCAATCTATCAATAGCAGTAGCCTGGGAAAAATAAAATCTGGTCAGAAATTGTTTTTCTTTCTAAATCCTTGTATGTACTTTCAGCCTTACCTGCAAAGCCTATCAGGCACTCACACTCATAGTGGTCCTTCTCATTGATGCAGGTTGCATTGTTCTCACAGGGCTGTGAAGCACATTCATTGATGTCGATTTCACAGTTGAAACCCTGAAAACCAGGCACACAGAAACAATAGAACTCTGCCACGCCATCTACACAAATAGCACCATTCTGACAAGGTTCTGATAAGCATTCATCTACGTCCACTTCACAGGTCCTTCCTGAGAAACCCGGTGCACAGAGGCATTCAAAACTATCTGGTTGTAAGGCACAACTGCCATTGTTCTTGCAGGGTTCATCAGTGCAGTCAGTCACATGTGTCCTGCAGTCTTGACCTCCATAACCTGCAGGGCACCTGCAGAAGTACCCATTTATTTGGTCTACACACAGAGAACGAGGCTCAAAGCAGGGGTTGCTCTGACACTCATCTATTTCCTCTGTGCAGTTGTCACCCTTAAGTCCATCCGGGCAAATGCAATGGTATTCTGTTGTACCAGGTATGCTGGTGCAGTCTTCACATGGAGCAAAGGAGCAGGCATCGTAAAGTTCATCACATTTTTTTCCCATGTATTGCACACCATCTCTGGCACAGATACAGGCATAGTCATCCTTGGTGTCCACACAAGTGGCTCCATTTTGACAGGGTGCAGACAAACACTTCTCTGATGTGGCTCTGCAGAGCGTTCCTACAAAATAAAATAAGGGTTATAATGAGGTCAAACATTACAAGTTAAACAATCACGATAGCTTGAGTTCCAAAAAATTACTACAAATTCTTACATAAAAATATACAATTGATTGTCTTAGTTGTGCTTTAGGGCAGCACGGTGGCGCAACTGGTAGAGCTGTTGCCTCTCAGCGAGAAGGTCGTTGGTTCAAATCCCGGTCCAGGGGCCTTTCTGGGTGGACTTTGCATGTTCTCTCCGTGCATGCGTGGGTTTTCTCCAGGTACTCCAGTTTCCTCCCACAGACCAAAAACATGCATGTTAGACTGATTGGTAACTCTAAATTGTCCCTAATTGTCCCTCTGTGCGTGAGAGAGTGAATGGTTGTTTGTCTCATTTGTCTCTATCTGTTCCTGTGATGGACTGGAGACCCATCCAGGGTGTCCCCCGCCCCTCACACAGTGATTGCGGGACATGGGCACCGGCGACCCCCCTGACCCCAAATGGAAGAAGCGGGTAAAAGATGATGGATGGATGGATAGTTGTGCTTTAAGCAGGCCCATTTGACTGTTCAAGAAAAGAAAACAATAGAGACAAAAGGCAAACTTAATGAACTACTCCAAAAAAGTTCAATCTGGTCCTCTGGACATAAAA